CCCAAATCCAGCAAATTTCCTTTCCTAAATATAAAATGAAATATCCATAGTAACAGAGAGAGAGAGCTTTTATTTGAGAGGAGCCGAGAGATGGGAGGGACAGCGCCCTTCTATTCATTCACTCCCCAAGTGCCTGCCACGGCTGAGACCAGGCCTGGCCAAGGTTGGAAACAGGAAACTCAGCCCAGGCCTCGCACAGCGCGTGGGAGGAACCCAGCCCCGTGAGCCATCAGGGCTGCCTCCCGCTGTCCTGTCTGCAGAATGTGGGAGTCAGGGGCTGGTGCCAGGCGCGCCATTGAGGGCTGCAGGCGCCAAAATCACTAAGGCAAACTGCCTGGCCTTAATCCAGAGCTGGTTTTGGCAAGCAGAAAAGCCCGCATGGCAGGTGACACATCCATTCAGAATTCTCCACTGAGGCATGACAAGAACGGGACGCAAGCAGCCGCTTCTGAGCCGCAGCACCGGCTAAGCTGGGTACGTGGGAGTCCCGCAACAGGAACCCACCCAAGCACCCAGAGCAGATCTATAACCTCAAACTAGAGATGGGAGGGATGCTGGTGATGGAAAGCAGCTCAACAAAACTTTCTGGAATGCGGGACATGGGTGATATCTTGATAGGAACAGCAGTGGTATGTCAAAGCCAGATGTCAGAAAGGTTAAAGGAAATTATTGAAAAGGTACATTAAAGGGCCCGGCACAGTAACCTAGTGGCCAATGTCCTCGCCTTCTCTCCATACATCTGATTTGCCCTTCCAATAAAAATAAATTTTTTTATTTATGAAAAATGGAATAAAAAAATAAGTTCTTTTTGGTGCATAAAGGTTTTGAAGTCAGAGAATCAAGATGGCGGAATAGGGAAAGGACACGTTTAAACAGATGGAAAAATATTAGACAGTGTGAAGCAGAGAGGGCACGCTCCAGGAAGTAGGAGAGGACAGAAAAACTTTGAAGTCCCAGCCTAGTTTTCCTGTAATGTATTGCCTATGAACTGTTTGGAAGACCTTTCTTACATTTTTAAAGATTTATTTATTTATTGGAAAGAGTGACACACACACACAGATTCAGAAAGGAGAAGGCGACCCACCCACAGGTTCACTCCCCAGCCGGCCACAATGGCCTGCAGCTTTGCCAGACCAAAGCCAGAAGCCTGGGTTTCTATCATGGACTCCTATGCAGGTGGGAGGAGCCTGAGTCCTAATGTCATCTCTCTGCCTTTCAAATAAAGAATCTTTTTTAAAAATTTAAAAAAAGGACATGAGGAATGCATAGTTTGAAAATAGTATACCTGGATTTCAAAAACATTTACATAAACGTACCTTTTTAAAAAAGATTTATTTATTTTATTGGAAAGCCAGATAAACTGAAAGATCTTCCATTCACTGGTTCACTCCCCAAAGGCTGCATCGGCCAGAGCTGAGTTGATCCAAAGCCAGGAGCCAGGAGCTTCTTGCAGATCTCCAGGTGGGTTCAGGGTCTGAAGACTTTAAGCCATCCTCCACTGCTTTCCCAGGCCACGAGCAGGGAACTGGATGGGAAGTAGAGCAGCTGAGACTTAAATTCGCACCCATATGGGATCCTGGTGTGTGCAAGGTGAGGATTTAGCCACTGAGCCATCAGACCAGAGCCCAAATTTTTTAAGTCTCTCCATACACAAATGTTAGAGACCGTGTGCCCAGGCTTAGAAAGGCACGCCTTTCTAAAGGGAAAGGGAAGGTGTCTAGTTGAGCAGCTGACACCTGTTGAGACACCTGTGTCCTCTACCACAGTGAGGCCTCGGCCTGGTGCTGCTCCTGAACCCAGCTTCCTGCCGAAGGCAGCCCCAGGAGGAAGCTGGTGAGGGCTCAGCTGGTTGGGTCTCTGCCATCCACCTGGAAGACCCAGCCCTCCCATCTCTCCCTGCCATCTGCCTCTCAGATTAAAAGAAGCAAACAACTCCACCCCTGTGAAAGGTATGCCTTTTGAATTCTTTTTTCAGAGCGAAAAATACATTCTTATCATGCCATCCACACAGCCTTGCTTATAATTGGCAAAATGGCGCACAGGCCCCAGAAGAGACCTGCCCCACCTGCGAAGTGCTGGCTGTTCCTTGTGGCAGAGGCAACGGCCCGAATACCAGGGGACAGGCCAGCCAGTTGGGTCCCAGACCCACAACTCCAGGGCAGGAACAGGAGTTTGTCCAACGGCAGAATTCCTCATCTTCCTGGTTGCACCCTTTCCTTTCTGCCTCTCCCACCATCTTGCATCTGCTGGAAGCCTTGACTGCTCATGGGGACCATAAAGTGGTCTGTTCCCAAGGCCTGGAGGACCCCTGCAGGGCACTGCCTGGGGAATTGGTTTTGAGCTTTGAGGAGGGCAAGCTAGGTTCCCTCAGACTGTGGTGCCTGCCGTCCATGCACTCCTGACAGCCTCCCCAGGATTGTTGATCCGTAACAAGCTGGAGTTACATTAACAAGCTAATTCTTGCCTGTGGCACTGGTATCCCATATGGACATTGGTTCATGTTCCAGCTGCTCCACTTCCCATCCAGCTCCCTACCTGTGGCCTGGGAAAGAAGTAGAGGATGGCCCAGTCTTGGAACCCTGCACCCACTTGGGAGACCCAAAAGAAGTTCCTGGCTCTTGGCTTTGGATTGGCTCAGCTCTGGTTGTTGTGACCACTTGGGAAGTAAACTAGCAGATGGAAGATCTTTCTGAGTCTCCTCCCTGTATATCTGCTTTTCCAATAAAAATAAGTCTTTTTAAAAAATGTGTTTGGAAACAAAATGTTAGGAAAAAAGAATTTCACTCTAAAAACAAACACTTGAATTGTGTCTTCTTGAGTCAGAACCCAAACCAATCATACCCTGAGAGCTGACCTCAGTCCCAGCCCAGCTGCCTCTGCTCTCACAAGTTCTGTCCACCTGGTGGAAGTTCAAGACCAACAGGAGTAAAACTTGCTGAAGTTTTAGAACAGCTGAAGGCTTGGAGGAGGAGTGCTGACAGAGAGGTGGCTTCCCAGTTACACTGCCTGACCGTAAACCTTTTCATTGACCAAATCTGATGGCCTGCCACCACCAGAGCCTTTAGATCCCAGTGAGGAGATCTCAAGGGGACAATCTAGCTCCCTATAAAATTGACTGCTGCCACTGGGGGCTGGGGACAGACTCGGTTTTTATTTCTTCTCTCACTGCTGGCCTCAGAGAAGTGTCCTTGAATCGCTGATGGGTTCTGCCTGTCCTGTCCTTTTGGTTTCTGGTTATGTCGCAAGAATGTGCCCCAACAGCCTCCACACCCAAATGAGTCAGCCCCAGCTTTAATGAGTTCGTGTTTTCCGGGCTCTTCCAGGGGAGGGGTTGCTCGCTGACTCCAGCCAGGTGCTGCCAGGCCCTGCACGGTTTGGTCCTTGGGTGAGCCGGTGTGGGAGTGAAAAGGGCTCCCAGCACCCATGAGGACAGAGGGACAAGGCAGGACTGTCACACCCCAGCAACTGTGCCCCCTGTGGCCCTTCCCAGCTGCAAGCAGCCAGCACGTCAGAGGTGGGGAAGAACTCCCATGTGGCGAGAGGACATTGGCTTCCACCTGCTTCCTCTGACCTTGATAGATGGCCTCATTAAAAAAAAAAAAAAGCTTTGGCAGTCATTGGCATTATAAGCCACCTCCTGCAATGCTGACATTCCAGTCCTAGCTGCTCCACTTCTGATCCAGCTCCCTGCTAATGTGCCTGGGAAGGCAGCAGAGATGGCCCAAGTGCTTGGGTTCTTGCCAGCCACATGGGAGGCCCGAATGGAGTTCCAGTCTCTTGTCATTGGAACTGGTTATGGAAAACCTCTCTCTCTCTCTCTTTCTCCCTGTAATTCTGCCTTTTTCAAATGAAAATAAAATACATCTTAATAAGAAAATAATTCAAAACCTGGCATGATAGCCTAGTGGCTAAAGTCCTTACCTTGAATGTGCCAGGATCCCATATGGGCGCCGGTATCCTGGTGGTCCTGCTTCCCATCTGGCTCCCTGCCTGTGGGCTGGGCAAAGCAGTCGAGGACGGCACAATGACTTGGGACCATGCACCTGCATGGAAGATGCAGAAGAAGCTCCTGGCTTCAGATGGGCTTCAGACGGGCTTCAGACCAGCTCAGCTCTGCCCATTGCAGCCACTTAGGGAGTGAATCAGCAGATGAAAGATCTTCCTCTCTCTCTCTCTTACTCTATGTATATCTGACTTTCCAATTGAAAAAAAAATGCTTTATTAAAAAAAAAGAAACAAATTCAGACTTCCTTGCAAAAATGCATGCACCATGTGTTAAGAAATGAGCTGCAATAGCAATTTTGGGAACAATGATTTTGAAGAACCTAGTGTTTTCTGCCTTTTGTAATTCCTGCCTTAATTGATTGACTGGGGGCTGTGTGAACTGCAGGCCTGATAGTCTACATGAACCTGGCAGGTATCTAGGCAGACAACTCCTCAGGAAGGAGGTACCTAGTGTTTGATAAGATCCACCGCCCTATAGCTCATCAATTTGTACTTTGTAAAATTTGATTTCTTCAAACCCACCAATGGGAACCTGCTAAATCATGACTGTATAATGAATAGCCTGAAATGTATAAGAACACCTGTGCTGTTCAACGGGGGGGTGTGGGAGGCCTCTCTCTCCTCTTTTGCCCTCCCTGCTGATCTTGCAGCAGCCTCAGCTGGGGCTGCTCCTCCCCTGCCCAGCCCTGCTGGGAGAGGCGGCTGGGAGACCTAGGTTAACCTGAATAAACCACCTTTATGCCTTAGCACCGACTTCAGACTTGATGATTTTCTGGGGATTACAAAATTTGGCACAACAATTTCACCCTCGATCCTTCCACCCTGATCAACCATGTAATCATCATGAAAAATAAAAGAAAGCAACAACAACAACAAAAAGAAAGAAATGAGCTGCAACAAGAGCAGACTTCACAGTAAGTCCTGTTACAAGGGGTTCATCTGCACACACCGCCCACGCCCGCGCTCGGGGCTGCCCCAGGGCTGACTCATCTCACCTGGAACAGCTATGAGGCCTCCTGCTCCACGGACAGGCAGGGCTCCACCAGGCCCTGTGCCCCAGCTACAGCCTAAGCCCGTGTCAGAATCCACTCCTGACGCGTGCTAGCCAGGCAGCCAGGCCTAGCCTCCAGGCCAGTTTCTCTCCTGCTGGGCCCCAGGGAGCCACACTTGGGTCTGGTCCTGGCCCCCACAGAAAGTGTAGGCCGAGTGAAAGCTAGTGCCAGACAGTTCCTGGCTCCTGACCACACCCAAGTGTTGGTTTGCTTGGTTGGGGCCAGGTTCTTAATGAATGCGATAGTTTCCACATTACAGAGATACCCCAAGGACAGTACCGGGAAATCCTCCCTTCCTCCCTCCCCAGCTACTAGCTGTTGCATTTTTGCCTTCTTTGCTTTTGCTTTGTCATTCTCTGCCTCTGGTTCTGGCCCCTCCCCGTGCTTTCTCTCCCTAAACCATGTGAAGAAAAGGCACAGATATGATGCTCCTGACCCCCTATTTGTGTCAGTGTATGTCTCTTTCACAAACAAGAAATTCTTTTTTTTAGATAAAGATTTATTTATTTTTATTGAAAATGCAGATTTACAGAGAGAAAAGAAAAAATATCTTCCATTCTATGGTTCACTCCCAAATGGCCACAAAGGCCAGAGTTGAGCCAATCCAAAGCCAGGAGCTTCTTCCAGGTCTCCCACACAGGTGCAGGGTCCTGGGGCTTTGGGCTGTCCTCCACTGCTCTCCCAGGCCACAAGCAGGGCGCTGGATGGAAAGTGGAGCAGCTGGGACACGAACCAGCACCCATATGGGAAGCTGTGCTTGGATGAGGATTAACCAGTAGAACTAAAACAATTTTTAAGAGAATTCTGATGCAAAAAAAAATTGGAAACCTTGCATATTTGTTGGTAATGTATATTTCCCACGAGCTTTTGAAGACCTTCATATTTCAGTTTTTAAGTGTTCCGTATTTGAAAGTCAGAGAGCGTGAGCAAGTGAGTGAGCTTATTCACTTCCTCAACACAAGACATGTACTCGGTACCCGGGCCGCCATCACCTGCCTCTCACCGTGTTCCTAGGAAGCTGCATCAGAAGCAGAAGTTGGGCTCAGACCCAGGTACTCAGATATGGGGGACAGCCATCCACAGGGGAGCAAATCCCCTTCCTCCTGTGCCCTCATATTCTTAAAGTGTGCTGGCCGGTTACTTGTAGCATGTTTGGGTTTGTCTCATGTTTGCTCCTAATTAGATTCAACATATGCATTTTTGCACGACTGTCAGAATCGGTGTTGTGTCTCTGAATTGGAGGCACATGAGGCTGGGATTAGCTTATACCAACACAGTGATGTTAGGTTTGATGGCTTCTTTAAGGGGCTAACACTGGCAAGTTCCTATTTCCCCCTTTGTAATTGGTAAGTGATTTGTGGGAGCATACATTGCAACTGTGTTGTAGTCCTATTTCTTACCAAACTTTTGCTCACCGTTTTTTTTTCTAGCTTTCATTCATGATGTTATTTACTAATTTTGAGAGGCAGACAGTTCCCACTGTCTGATTCTCCAAATGCCCTCAAATCTCTGTTTGTTTGTTTGTTTGTTTGTTTTTTCTGCCCAAGACCACCGAGGAGGTGAGGCCACAGTGTTCCGAGTTGCAAGAACCACCTGGGACAGCTGATGAACCACCTGGGACAGCTGATGGAGCACATCCGTTTATTGTAAAGCAAGCACAACTTATATAGACTAGGATAGGTGGAAGGGCATCCCCTGACAGTTCTCTGACCTAACAATGACCCTGTAACTGAAGGCTAGAAGGCATGTCTATCTCTTTGGACCCTCCAACCAAGTCACAGGTTGTGTTAGACACATCTGGAAGCTGTGCCTCAGGTCACATGAATAAGCTGTGGGTCTCATTTGACATCTTAGAGTTGTTTTTCAAGGAAGTCCCAGCACAGCTCAACCAAGCTCAGAGAGGAGAGACTAGAGTGCAGCCTACCACTCTCACCTGCATGACCAGTGAACAGGCCAGGTGGAGGTCTCAGTTAGCAGAAACCATTGTCAGGGGGCTTCCCCAGGGACACAGTGTGCCGTGTACCTGTGACCTTACACATACGCTAAGCAGGCAGAGATCCAGGGGTGATCTCCTACACTCAAGGCCGGTGCTGAGCTGGGTAGAGCTGGGAGCCAGGAGCCCCATCCAGGTGAGTGGCAGGGACCCAAATAAATACTCTAGCCTTGCCGAGTTGCCTCCCGGGGTCTGCTTGAGCAGGAGGCTGCCATCAGGAGTGGATCCCTCTCTGATGGGGACACAGGTGTGGATTGCTGTGTCAGTCACCATTGATGGCGCTCCTCCTTCATCTTCCCAATGTGTTTCTGAGTTTCCCTTCATTGCCAGGCGTTTATGTCGGCACATATGCTCCTTGTATTCACTGAGGCATTAGCCATGGCAAGCCTCATTTTTCTTGATGCTTTAGTTGCCCCAAATGTGGCCAGTGGGAGCACCCACTTGAGTGGGTGCTGAGTTTCATTTCAGCACTTCCTGCTTACCACAACAGGTGTCCAAGTTCTTTCTCTGCTCTCCTTGTCCCAGATGCGGAAAGCAGCCATGTTTTAAAGTTCACTGATTCCTTTCCTGGGAAATGGTCTTAGATATCAAGATCTGGCCTCCAAATCTCCTTTCTGGTGTGTCTTCACTTCTAGACCGTCCCAGTAGACAGCACTAGGCAATATTATACACACAGAGAAATAGGTAGCTATGGAGACACAGATATATACTGGAAAACATGGATTCATACTACAATTTTTCTTTTTAAAAATTTTACTTATTTTTATTGGAAATGCAGATCAGTTATATGGAGAGAAGGAGAGACAGAGAGGAATATCTTCCATCTGCTGTCTTATTCCCCAAGTGGCTGCAAAGGCCGGAACTAAACTGATCTGAAGCCAGGAGCCAAAAGCTTCTTCCAGATTTCCCATGTGGGTACAGGGATGGGTTTGGGCTATCCTCCACTGCCTTCCCAGGCCACAAGCAGGGAGCTGAATTGGAAGTGGAGCAGCCAGGATACAAACCAGTGCCCATATGAAATCCCTGTGCTTGTAAGGTGAGGATTTAGCCATTGCGCTGGGCCCCAGGCTACAATTATAATCAACACTCTTTCCATATTGCAACTTCTTTCCCCAATAGTGAGAAATCTGGCTTCCATGAATCTGAAATTCAGGAATACAAAATGCATAGGTAGATTTCCAAAGATTCATGGAAAAGTGGAATTACCAGGTAATTTTGTTTCGAAGCAAAAAATAATTGAAATAATGCAAATGAAGTATTTTCAAGAAAGTTCATGGAAAATGCCTTTTATGGGAAAGCTATATGTAGATTTCAAAAAATTTGCACTAAAGCGATTTTACCTTTCAATTAAATTTTTTCATGGACTTTTGGAAGAACCTACATGATTTTCAAACTGCTAGCCTATAACACTGCCAAAATTAAACCTAAATAGAGTCCAATTTGTTTATGATTTATTTTATTTTATTTATTTATTGGAAAGTCAGATATACAAAGAGGAGGAGAGATAGAGAGAGAAGAAGATCTTCCATCTGATGATTCACTCCCCAAGTGAGCGCAACAGCCAATGCTATGCCGATCTGAAGCCAGGAGCCAGGAACTTCCTCCGGGTATCCCACATGGGTGCAGGGTCCGAAGGCTTTGGGTTGTCCTGACTGCTTTCCTGGGCCACAGGCAGGGAGCTGGATGGGAAGTGGAGCTGCCGGGATTAGAACCGGCACCCATATGGGATCCTGCATGTTCAAGGCGAGGACTTTTAGCTGCTAGGCCACCCACCGGACCCTGTTTCTGATATATTTTTAGGTAAAATTTACATGCAGAAATCCAAAACATATAGTTTGATAGCTTTTGACAAAGAGAGAGAGAGAAATGCATGGTTGTAACCCAGAGCTCTAGGACACGGCACATTGCTTCTGTGTCTTCTCTGAGCCAATGGTACTATTCCCAGCCAATTCCCCCACACCAGAGGGAACCACTCTCCCAGCATGTTGATCTGTCTGCACATATCATCTGGCCTCCCTGGTGTCCAGCTCTGACACCTGGTGCCCTAATCTGCACTCTTCCCGTCCATAGCTCATTCTCCTCCATGTCCAATCTTCAATTTTCTTTTGTATGCGTACTCCTAAGCTTACCCAGATTTGCCCTCACTTTCTGCCACCCCAAACTCAGCCAGCATCCCAGACTGGGTGTCCCACATGGATGGTAGGGACTTTAGTTCTCAAACCGTTGCCTGATCTCTCCCACGGTACTTGTGAGCAGGAAGCTGGAAACAGAAGCGGAGTGGGGACTTGAACCCAGGGTGCAAATGTCCCAAGCAGTGTCTTAGCCACTGCACTAGCCACGCACCATTTCCCTGCACTCCTAATGGAGCCCCAGCAGTTCTCTGGTCTGCAATGGACTTCCAGGATAACAGCATGTACCAATGACAGTTTGGTTGAAAGGCTTGGTTATCCCACCCTCTCTGGCGCTGCTTGCTGCCTGGAGTCAGGCCAGCCTGCTCCTCCTTCCCCACATCCTGCCTCGTAACTGCAGTTTGGAGAAGGTCCCTGTCCACTCCTCCCACTGAGGACTGCCTCAGCACAGAGTGGGGGAGGCGTCCTCACAAGGGGACCTTGTGAGCATGACCGTGACAGACAGAAACCATGTGTCTTGTTGGACCTTGAGTAAATGTGAAACTCCTCAGCCCACCCCCAAGACGTGGCCAGGGTCCAAGGTTGAGGGGAGAAGTGAAAAAATGTGGGTGTGCATGTTTATGTAAACGCCCATAGAGTGCTTATGAATAATTCCCTTTCAAAAGCACTTGGCCTTGCAAGAACGGGGCTTGGTGTAGAGCAGAAGTTAAGGGAGTGCTTAGAACCAGGAAGCTGCAGCCCTATTACTGTTTAGGAGATAGTGGGTTTGCAATAGCTTGTTTTCTAGGCATCCTGAGGAAAGGGGTTAATGTGGCTCAATGATGAACACGTGTGAAAAGGCCTTTGACCTGGAGATACTTAGCTTGGCTCTGCACGTTGGCTCTGGACTGGCCTCGCAGTTGCTCGCTGTAGTCTGTGTCTTTTGTGTGTTATCCTTTTCCCCAAGCAAGGGAGAAAACTCCTGCAGGGAAGTGGCGGGGTCATGTATGATCTCT